CCCCCCCCCCCCCAAGATCGCGAAGCCTTGAGCAACTGCCCAGTGTGACTGAGTGGGCCCATGCCTTAAGAACGGCGCCATCTGCCGGGTTAGTTCAAAGTTAAAAGTATATTTTGCGACATCCTTGGAGGATCTTTGGGACATTGTAGTATGCTGCCATGGTTGAAAACGACTGGCCTTAGCCTTAGTGTTTTACATGCAGTCAGTGGCGTCGCTGACCCTTACAGGTTGTGTCACCAAATGGAAAATTGCAAATATGACAGAGCTGGCCGGAGTCGATCTCATAAAAAAAATATTGTTAAAAATAAAAATAGGATAACATCACACAAAATGCCCACAGAGCAGAGTGCCACAAACAAACACAAAAAAGTGCCACATGGCCATTTCGCCACAAGAGTTCAACTGAGTGTCTGGAGTCTAGTGCGTTTTAACAAATGCAATGGAAAAAAAAAAACAAACAAACATTGACAGCAGGACTTAGTAGGTTTTACAAAACAATTGTTGCGGAAATTATTGATTTTATGGACAGGAGGAAGAAAAAATTGAGGGTCATCTTGACACCATGAGTTTACTAAACTGCATGACAACCCTTGTGATGGCTCGGCATTTAGTGCGTGAGAAGGAGGGGGAGTTAATACGGCACCACTATGTAAGTACACATTACTTTTGATTATCTACCATTTTCAACAGAGGGCAGTTAATTCCGGAAATGTCTAAATTTACCCAAAGAAGGATGTCAAGCTAAACAAGAAGGCAGAAGGAATAAAGGAAAGTGAACGGAGTAATAGTTGGCAGATGTGCACAGCAATGCATGTATTATTTTATTTAGTTTTTGAGGATGACTATAATTATTACCTAGTATTAAAGTTGATATTTTTAAAAGTAAAATAAACTATACATCGTAATTGTTATAAATAATTGGCTAGGCTAGACTTACACCTACTGAGCCTACGCTTACTCTTGTTTATTTTTAGTATTGTTTAGTGTTTACATTTTTAAAACTATTTAGTTTAGTAGTATTTATTAGTATTTAACACTTTACATGACTTGACATAACAAAAAGTAAATTAAATTATTTTCATTGTTGAATAATTAGGGTAATCAATAAAGACGTTGATTTTTCATGGGTTAAAACAGTGATCAATAATTCAATTGCAATAAAAAAAAATGTAAATATAAAAAATTTACTATATACTATATAATATAAAATATAATTATATAATATATATATATATACTATATTATATATTTTATATTCTAATACCATATTCTATATTACTAAATATTTATACTATTAAATTAAAATCAAGTCACTAGTGTAGGATATGATTATACTCGTTATATATTATTACACTTAGACTTACACTAATTACTATATTTTAGTAGGACTTCACTAAACGGCGCGCCAATCGATTTTTCGGCTGTCAGAAACAGACCATAATCCGATGACCGGTCAATGCCGGTAGGTCACGGGGTCATATTAAAATCTAGTTTCCTTTGTCTACGTAAGGGAGAGACAATGAACTTGTTATAGTCTGTTATACTACCCTTCTACAACTTAACTATGAGCATTGATTGAAGGATTTGTTGACTGATACTGATACATACATGTATACCCCCAAACTCTTAAAATCGTACAATTCACTACATCATTACAAAATCGTTCAGTACATTATCTCTATATTAAAAAAGAAACATACAGTATATATATAATGTATACACCTCAAAATCGTACATTGTACGCCAAAATCGTAAGAGTTAACAGGCCTGCTTATATTATTATATGATTCTTACGATTACTCCACTGTTATTAGTTCTTTAATCTTTAGTATTAGTGTTAGTGGGACTCATTCTTTTTACTAAACTAAATTGGGAAGACCGATTCCCCTGTTGAATTCCTTACAATGACTATACACTGAAAATTCCATCAGTACCAATGTTTTTCTTTTCAAGATGTTTTTGAACTTTGTTTGGGTATTGTATTGTTGAGATATTATAAAGTAAAGTTTATTAATTGCACATATTCATTCTTGGATAGTTAAAGTCAAACACTAGTAATTTTAAATTGGCTGATAAAACGTCTCTATGAATGCATTGATGCATCGAAACACTGTCTGGCCATAATACTGCCTTCTTCATCCTTGCAAAAGTCCTGTACCGGTATAAGTTAGTACAAGCTTCTGCCAATCCCTACTCGGTCCCACATCTATCTTCCAATCAATACCATTTTAATTATCTTATTTAGCAATCTTAAATCGTATTGAAAACTGTTGGTGGCTGTCATTTTTCTCAGCATGATTATAGATATGTAGGAGATATTCTATTCTTCATCAGTTTTGTCAAATATGTATCTTACTTACATAATACATTAGATTTAAATAATATGACATGTGAGCGAACTTTCTTGAAATGGTTATGAAGAATAAATACAGTGTAGTCTTCACTCTATAAAAGATTTAGGACATATTCATTAAAATTATCTACTATCGCCACATGTATGCTCTTTAACTATGTTTTTGCTTCAACTATACATGCCAACCTGTAAGATCAAAAACTGACCAAAAAATTTTTTAAACACACAAAAAACTGTTGAACATGAAAAAAAAATGAAAAGTCAAGTAAAGTTCGATTTATAACTTTTTATATTTAGTTATCAATGTTTTGAATGCATGAAAACTTTTGCTTCATAATAATTTCTGGATTAGTTTGAAAACCCAAACAACAAGTGTGATATAGATGTCATTGCAATGAAATTTGCAAATAAAATCTTCGCTCTTGTAACTTTATCAAATAGATTATCTATATTTTGGAGCTAGAATGAAAAGGATTTAGGCCTAATAATAGAGTTGTAGAGGTAGAATTTCCCTATATTCCCATAAAGTTATGTTCAAGCAACTATGTTTTAAAATGTGTGCCTCTGTGTCACTTAAATGTCTTTTTTGCAAAATGCATGTGATGATCTGTTGGTGAGGTATGGATAATTTCAGGATATTCAGTCATAATTGAATTGTAGAGTAGTCAGTTTAATATAAATCTGATAGTATTCAGTTATTGTGGATAATAATATTGTCAAGTATTGATTTAGTTGAGCCAGCTCTCTACACAAGTATTGGTTCAACACAGTATCTGTTTTAACAATCTAGGGCAGGAGTCTGGAACTTTGCGAGCCACATGCAGCTTTTTGATCCTTCTCCTGTAGCTCTTGGCTGGATACTTCTTGTTACTAGATCAAAATTTAATATTTGGCTCTATGCCATGAAAAGGTTCCTAACTCCTTCTTTAGAGCTATAAAATTAATTACTTGTATGCAATATTCCTTGTTGTATTCTGATAAAAATGATAAATTTTAAGTTGTTGCTTTTTTCTTGATAGGGTTTAGCCACATTATAAATGTTCATGGCCGTTATGTAATGGACACAGATGAAATAGGTGGCTAATTTTGAACACTTTACTTCTTAGATAGGAATGGGAGATCATCCAGGTATGCTAATCTTATTGGATGTAAGATGTTTTTATTTATTGAATCCTCTATATCTCTCATAAAAAATTATTATTTTTTGGCTCATTTCTCAATGAAACAAGATGTATTGGAAATAATTTTTGTTTTTAAAACTGAATGAATTTAAAAAAGATTTTAAAAATTTAATTAACTTTTCAATATCTTGTTTCAGCTGAGCAGAAAACGGGATCATCAACAACAAAGCATCCTTCAAATGGTAAACGGAAAAGAAAATTCTTTTTAACAAAAGATAAAAATATGTATAACTTGCAGCTTGTATCAGTTATATATAGATTATACAATTCTTGTTATTTAAAAAGAAATGTATTTTGAAAATAAATCTGAAATATGTAAAAACTATATGTAGCAAATTTTTTGCTTTTATTTCTAATAAGCAATATAGTTATGTTAGTTTAGTAAAAAAAATGTCTTAATGTATATATATATTTTTTTTTTTTCTGCAATAGACAATGCTGGACCCATTATTCAAAGTTCCCATGAGTCTGCAGAATACCAGCAAGATCTTCAGGTTGTATTGGGGACTGCCTTTGGTGTCATTGCTGTGGTGGGGATCATTGCATTGACATTTCTGTTGTATCGCATCTACAAATCCAGGCGTGCAGCTCTCTCATGTAAATATTTAAATTAAAGCAAGGATTATTACAAAATAGCATTGTGATACCATATTTTATCATAGAAATGTTAAAAATGTTAATGTATGTCATATCAATTTACAACATAAGTATTATACCATCTCAAAAGAAGGAAAAGAGATGTCACTTTCAATAAAAGTGTTTTAGAAGGATTCTCTGCTTACAGAATGTAATTTTTGATCAATTGAAATATTCGTAGCAGTGTATTTTATTTCATAATGAGTGTGTCAGGCCTACAAACGTGATTTTGACATATCTTGTCATTGATGCAATCCATTTTCATGAATTGGATTGACTGCTTTAAATGAATCCTACTTGTGTCGTAATGAAGTCAGTAAATAGTTCAATTATTTTAATTAGATATGAAAAAAAAAATGACTGCAAGTGTTTTATTATATATATATATATTTCAGATGCACAAAATGAAATATTTGACGCCTTTGAACGTGATGTGGCTGTTGGTAAGTTGTTGGTACCCAACATTTAACCAAACAAACAGCCTCACCCCAAAAAAATTAAATTGTCTGGCAATTTACTCATTTACTGGCAACCATGAATTAAACTATTACAAAAATATTAATTTCAGCTGCTATTTTCATCGAAGCTAGACGTAGCAATAAAAGTTTTGTAATAATATAAGAATTGGTATTGCAAGATATTAAAATTTACCTAAACAATGAGCTCTCCAGTAGTTCATTCAATAATCATTTTTAAAAGGTTAACGCACTTCAGTTTTAATTTGTTAAATTTTAACATATAATTGTTGTATATTATGTGTTTTGATAAATTGAACAAACCTAATACTTAGATTGCACACCATCCTAAAAAGTCTTATAAAAAATCTCTGTTTCTGGTTCCAATCCAAAATAATAAAATCAATATGGATTGTGTTAGTGTTTGTTCATTAATGCCAAAAGCTACCGGTGGAAAGATTATAGAGCTGCCATCATTGCTTGTGGTGATCTATAAGTTATATTTTTAGCACCATAAGTTATATTTTTAGCACTATCCTTTTGTAAATGCAAGTTGCTAAAAACTTAATGCTCAAGTAACCATCAAAGCAATAATCTTGTTAGTATTTTAATACAGCTGTTTTTGTTCCTCCCAGAAGTTGACGGGAAGTGTCAACCAGTGGTGTTGTTGCTGTATGCCAATGACTGCGCCTTACATGAAAGGGTTGCGCTGGCCCTGGCAGAATTCCTCATGGAGGCCTGCGGGGTGACCGTTGCACTGGACCTCTTTGAAGAAAATGAAATCACGGAGAGGGGTGTTGACGACTGGCTGATTGACAGGCTACAAGAGGCAGACTACATAATGGTGCTTTGCTCTCTGGGTGCCAGGCTCAGGTGCTCCAAGAAAAATGTCAGATTTAAACCAGATACCAGACACATTTTACCAGATTATTTTTCTGTGGCCGTGGATTATGTTGCAGAGAAAATGAGGGCAGAAAGACTAAAGGGACTGTCTGTGCATAAATTTTTAACAGTGTACATGGAGTATTCAACTCGCTCTGATATTCCTCCTCAACTTGAAACTGCTTCTCACTTTTGTTTAATGAAGGACATACACAAGCTACATCTTCACCTCAATGCGCAGGGACCAGACACAGACAAGTCAGAGACCGTCTCCCAGTCCAGCACCTGTGAGAACCACTATCATGAGACAGAAACGGGTGCAGTTTTGAAAGCTACCATAGAGCAAGCAAAGGCATTTTTTAGAGAGAACCCATCTTGGATGGATGATCAGCTGGAGCCAGGAAGCATTGCTGGATTTTCACTCCGTCGTGCCAAAAACAGGAAGCGGAGAAGGAATTCAATGGAGCAACCTCTTCTGACGTTGATGGGGACGCCACCTGTGGTACACCAGTGTCAACTTTCTGACGTCAGCTTCAATAACATGACTAATGGAGTGACATGCCCCCAGAATCCAAGGCCAGAGCACATTTCAATCCAGCATCTCTCACAGGCAGCACAAGATCCTGGCAGGGTACTATGCAGTACTTTGCCTCGTACCAGTACCACATCATACGTCCTGGAGGCAGGCAGACATAACCTCTGTAATAATGTTGGGATTTTCCAAAGCCGCCAAAATTCCCTCCCTTCTTCACTGGCAAGCAGTTGTCTCGCAGTACAGCCTGCTCTTCATACCTTATCTAAAAGTATGGATAGCTTTGCCCTGGATAATACACACCATCCAGATGGATTGCCTTGCCTTTACTGTAACTGTACACACATGGATGCCAGGCCTGAATGCAGACAGTTACAGCATTACCAAGGGAAGGCATCCAAAGGGAAGTTCACCTCCACCGACCTCTCGCAACAAGACAGTCAGTCATCATTACATTTTCTGCAAGGGGGGCTCATCCCAGTCCACTCACCAACAACTATTCTTCATGCCGAAGTGCATCAAGAATGGGGAAACTCCAACAAGGGCACCCCAGAAAAGAAATGTGCCACATTTTCTGGTGACCCTCGATCCTGGAGCTCTGACCTTGACATTACAGCCGCAATGACCCCTTTCCAGTCCCTCCCTCTCCACCTCTCCCCCACCAACCTCCATTGCAATGACCACATATTGGAATGGAGCAGCCCAGATGGAATGCAGAGATGGAGGACGGGTCAGGCAATAGAAGGATTTCAGAATGGCACCGGCCGTAAAAGTCACAGAACACTCTCTGAAGTCTCTGTCTCAACAGATGATTCCGGCTCAAACTCTGATGGGGATTCTCTGGAAAGAGACCTCCAGTCTATTAATAAGATCAGCTCATTTCAAGAATTTGTCAACTCATCGTCTTTCATTGGTGCCGGGCAGAAAATGCAGCACTCCCCAGACACATTCAACATTGAGATGGCTTGCATAATAAAGCCACGTGACAGGCTTGCCATGAGAGCCAGCGAGCACCGGGGGGAATCTCTGGAGTGTGACAGAGATTTTATTGTGTAATTGGTGTAGAAATTTTAGCCTTGACTTTTATTGTATTATAAGCGTGTCAGCCCATTCTGTCCTTGCTTTCACCAATCACACAAATTATTATTTTTGTGTGTGCATGTAACTTTTCATAATATTTGTTATCATATATTTTGTTACATTTTAATAAACAAGAAGTAACATGGTAGGTGACAGATACTTTTAATGAACAATTTTTTTTTTTTAAAGAAACAATTTCTTTATTGATATTATTATTATTTTTCATNTATATATATATTTATATATATATATATATATTTATTTATATATATATATTTATATATATTTTAAAAACTGGTTATCATTTAACGAACAAAAATTTTGTTCACAACACAGAACAGCACTTTAAAAATAAATCATTAGTAAATGCCTCTTTGTTAAACATGAAACAACGAATGTTTTACTAATATTGGATATTGATATGTTGTTGTTTTTTCTTATTATTTATTCTAGCATTAAATCTTTAATTAAAAAATGAAAGGAAAAAATGTCTAAGAATGTATCAGCCTTTATTTAAAGTGATAAAAGATCAAAATGGAGATATTTTTAAAAAAGGCCTAAAAGCACAAACATTCAATACCAGTACTTTGTTTTTAATACTTTTTGGGGGGTGGGGGGGTTAAGTATTGGGGGGAAGAAAAAAAATTCTATAATTGCAGCCAAATGGGCCTTGTGAGTCACGTGAGATGGTACTACTTGGGCTAATTTTGAGTCTTTAATATTCAGGTTTAGTAAAGTAGCTCTTCGAATGCATGTTTTTGCTGTAGTTCCATCTGTTAAAAACACACTTAGTGCCATCTGTTCAAACACCTGTAGCTCCACCTGTTTAAACACATGTAGTTCCACCTGTTCAAACACACACACTTCCGTCTGTTCAAACACACATACCTCCACCTGTTAAAACACACACACTTCCATCTGTTAAAACACACATATCTCCACCTATTTAAACACACACACTTCCATCTGTAAACACACGTAGCTCCACCTGTTCAAACACACATACTCCACCTGTGAGAACACATGTAGCTCCACCTGTTCAAACATAATTACCGTATTTTCCAGTGTATAAGACAACTTTTTAACCCATTAAAATCTTTTCAAAAGTCGGGGGTCGTCTTATGAGCTGGTATACAGCCCAAACCCTAGATTTTAACAGGAAAAGTAGGGAGCCGTCTTATACGCCCAGTCGCCTTATACGCCGGAAAATACGGTACTTCCATCTGTTTAAACTTTAAACACACGTACTTCCACCTTTAGAACACACATAGCTCCACCTGTTAAGACACACCAGTTTAGAATTTGTAGAACTGTTCTTCCAAGTTATGTTAAGTTTCAGTTTTTTTCCTACTGATTTCAGCAGCTTGTGACAAGCTATGTACGTCTTGTTGAAATACCAGTAAAATTGATTATTGTACAAACACTATATTGTGGTTGTTTTAAAATACATTTTTTATTTAACTTGTTTTAAATGCATTTCTTATTTATTGTGAGCACTTTTATTTATTTCATCTTCCCAGTTTCTTTTTCCCAAGGTAAGATATAAAAATTAAATTTTTGGGCCATTGGAAATTGATAAATAGAAAAATATTCTATAATATTCTACTTTGTTAACATAAATTAGAGGACAACTTTGGGACATAAATTTTACCATGTCTCTTTACTTTAATATGAATTTTTGAAATTGTTTTTGGGGCTATCATTAAATTTAAACCTAATTTCAAATTACAAAAGCAGTGCCCTATTCAATGACCTAAAAGCTATTTTAATATATATCTTAAATATACCTATAAACAACTTATAATAAGGATAATACTCAAAAGTTTTGCTAGTAGTAAAGTTAGTATTTATACCAAAGTGTTGTAGGCATCTAGCCATTCAGTTAGTTAAATATATTTTATAAAAATATCTCTTCTCTGATTGATTACCAGTAAATGTAAATAGCATTTTAAGAACAATTTATGGTAAGTGTCCTTTTTTCTTCATTAAATGTTAAAGGCTAAGAATCACACTCATCCATTTGTTAATTAAATAATATAAAACTAGAAATTGATGTGCTTCAGGAAACAAATGTTCTTTAATTTACTTTTTTTTTTTTTTTTTAAATAATAAAAAAAAAAAAAACAAAAAACTGCCATCAGCATTAAAAAAAAAAAGTAGTGGATGAATGGGGTATGAATGTTTTTAAAATAGTTAGTTTATTTGTTCCATATTTGTTTTAAATTAGAATTTATGCATAATACAGGAGTTTGAAGTGGGCAAAAGGCAATGAAATTTATAATATCCATTTGTTGTCAATGAAAATTTTATGCTTGTGCTCACTAGTATATGGCCTCATTCTCAGGTTAACTTAACTTAATTAGGTTCATGTTTGGAAAGTAAACCAAAAGAAAACCAACAGATTTTGAACTTGAGACTTTTGACATGTATGATTAGCATTCATCAGTTTTTAGTTATTTTTTCTTCAGCTTTAATTTGTTCAACAATTATTTAAAATTGTTCAAAAAAAAAAAAAAAAAGGCAATTTTTTATTAATAAATTGTTCAATTCACAACTAATTAAAGATATATTTATGTAATTAGTGCTTAATATAAGAAACCTCTATCATTATTATTACAAAGGCTGTAATAATTTCTCACAACCAATGCAGGAAGCAAAGCCAAAGAAAAATATGTTGCTTTAAAAAAAAAAAAAGAAACATCGTGATGACTTTCATTAATGCTAATAATGTATCATATCCTTTAAGACCTGAAGAAACAACATGGCTTCAGAGAATTATCACATATAATAAAGAAATGCTGTTTATTGTTCTTATTGTCTGAGAATGAAACACCAACTTATGTTGTCAAGACAAAATATCTTGTATTATTTACTCTCTAACATTATATCTTTAAGCCTTAAATGGTAAAATATGTTTATTGATAAACTTAATCAACCAGTCTTGTGTATACAAGCCAGATTTTCTTTAAAACATGATTTGCATTTTTTTAAATATTTTTTTTTTGTATAGCCCAACTTATATTTACAAGGATTTAAAATCAAAATAAACACATTTTATGTTTTCCAAGTACTTATAATGTCTTTTCCTATTACTATTATTATCTTATCCAGATACTTTAATTAATAAATTAATAATTAATTAATAAAACCTTATGAATAACCCCAGCAGATTATTGATAAAGGAAAGTAGTTAACGCAAGAGAGTAAGACCTACATTACCATGCTCATGTTTACTGTCATAGTTTTGGCAATCAGGTTTCTTGCATTTTAAGTATCATGGTCCTTCTGTATCCTGTCAAGTTTTGATGCTTTCATTTAAACCAGTTTAAATCTTTTTCCCCCACTGTAAAGACGTATCTGTGTTTACATTAGTTTTTTAAAAGGCATTCCTTAGTTTTTTGTTCTACCTGTGATTCAGAATTTTTTTTTTTGTGTGTGGCTCTTGCACACACCATCCTTAATGCACATTTCTGTGCAGCTTATTCAACTGGAATTTTTTTATGTGGATAATTTAAAAGCAATCATTGAAACATTCAAGATATGTTTCCCCGACTAAAATTTTGACAGCCATCGTGAGTCCTAATTTTAACACTACCAAAGCTTCAAACAACACAACTTTATTAACATTGCATGGGTCGGCAATAAATGCTTGTGTCTCATTTGTTCACCATTTAACTTGCCTTATTATTATGTTGTAGCCAATGTTGTACTAATCAGAGCTCAAGCTTCAATAACACACAGGGGATTTAATAGAAGCTAAAATTATGTTTCATACATATATGTAGAAAGATTAAGATTAGTGATATTTCAGGAACATATTTATGTCTATCTTAAAAATTATCATGTCAACATTAAACTTGTACTAATTGTTTTGCCAGAGATCTGTTTTTATTTTATTAAAAATGATCAATCCTTCTCTCTCTGTCTCTCCCTCTATTTCTTAGGGATATAATTGCAATTTATCAGTACTTGATAATGGTGCTGTTTTATACATACTTGTACACTTTATGACAATATACCTAGTTATGTAAATATCTCTATATATAAGTATAAGTCAATAACTATATATTATGTGTATCTATAATTGCATAGACCTTGTTATAATTTAGTGTTGTAAAATATTCAAATAAAACTGTTAAAAATCCTAATCTTGATGTTAATTTTAAAAAGCTGTTGTCTTGTGCCTACAAAAAAGCCATTGTTATGTCCAATTCAGCCATGTTTTCATACCAGTATTTTCTAATGATTCACTAGTTTTATATTTGTTACATCCTACTTTCCATAAAATTATATTTTTTTTTACAACTGTGGCAATACCCCAATAATGTGAAAGCTGATGTGACAGTTTAGCAGTCATACACATCCACCACCATTGCCTTTTTGCTCACTCTTTTATATAAATAAAATTTTTGTTTGAACTAATAATTTAATAAACAAAAATATACATGGTGTAAATATACAAAAATTGAGATTGTATCCAAATGTGGGTTTCTTGTAGTTATATCTAGCTGTTACCTAGTAGGGAAATAACTGTATGCTTTATATTCATTTTAAGTAATATTATATTTTGAATCTAAAAGACAATAACTTGTGTGGAATGATTCACTGTCCCACCATTTCAATAATCTCATGATACAGTTTGCCTTTGTTGCATATCTGATCCCGTATAAAAAAATGAATAAAAAAATGAAGTGATTGTTGAATTTTTTATTTTTTTTATTTCATTTTCACAAACAGTA